AAGATTTTTACCAACTTTATCCTAACTAGTACTTTTACAAATTTAAAAAAATATATTTTATTTCTCCTTAAATTTTAAGTAGTCAACTGATTTGGGGGGAAAATTTACCAAGTTCAGTACACATGCACCAAAATTTGATCCAATCTAAGTTACCCAGCAAAATGATGTTAATCCCAATTTACTATTAGCATTAAGTTTCCTCAATTTCACTAGTCTTTATTAAATCAAATTTTATATGTGGTATTACAAATATATTTCCAACAATCCATTTATTATATAATTTTTAATTATTTTTTTTTTATTTAACCTATATTTGAATAGATGCTCCACTTTTTTTTTTCTTTTTTAATTGAATTCACCCCAAGCAAGGCAATAAAGTCACTATGACACAAAGGCATTATTTACATTATTTGAACTATTGTCCTCATCTTTGTTGTCATATTTATTACGTTTCGGCCATTTTACACTCCAGCCTTATTCAGGTGGTTGGAATGTCGAACTGAACCCTTTATTTCGCTCACTGGGGTAGACTTTTCCCATATTAGAAAGGTAGCAATTTTGCACACCTTAATTTCTGTGTATAAAAAGTGCTTCTCAAAATGTTGTTGGTGAGAAGTTTTTAAAACAACTTTATAGGAAAAAGATAAGTTATTTAAGAAGCTTTGAGGTCAAATAACAAGAAACAGATGATTCTGAAGGCCAATGATTGACAGGGTACTCATCAACTAGGGTGATCAAAGTTGCCCCAAGACAGAACTTTTGGGCTAACTTTGACCACTAAGTTGGAAGCAATTTTTAAAAGGTCTTGGCACAAGCTATTTCCCAGAATGCATTGTTCTGATAAAACTGTGCATGCCTTTCCTTTCCTGTCAAGATTTCAAGGAAGAAGGTCACAGGAAAACTAAAGTGAGTGATTTTGCTTGATTTATCCTATTTTATATCATCAGTCAATCATAATATTTCTTTTCCAACATTTTGGATTAAATTGAAAGAATATATGGAAATCCTGCAACAAATGTTGTCAGAAGAATTATTTTATAGGTGGTCAAAGTTATCAGTTCAGAAACAACTGCAACAAGGATTTATATACATAGGAAAGATTGCAAACAGCTAGAGTGGTCAAAGTTACGCCATTGCCAGGTAACATTGACCTCAGTGTACAAAGACTTTTTTTCTCTGGCATGAAACAAGCAATTTCCAACATATCTTCACATAAGTAGCAGTTTAGTCCATGCACAACTTTTGCCATCACTATTTGCATCAAATATACATGCACTAAACAGAATTTTCAACTTTTACCCAAAAAGTGGAACAAAGTTACCCCAGTTTACGGTAGATTCTGGAGAGAGAAATTGTCTAGCACAACACAGTAAACCAACTTTCCTAGCAGCTGATTTATTAAACAGTATATTTATTTTTGTCTGCCAGACTGAATATTCAAGAATTCTTATTAAAGAAAAATATACACTCTCCAGCAGGATTCAAACCTGCATTCCCCAGGCAAGGGAAACAGTCATTTAATATATATTAAAATAACGTTTAAGAAAAAACAAATTACAATATATATATATATATATATATATATATATATATATATATATAAAATATAGTTTTTATGGTATGCTATATTTATAGGTTAAAGTGCTCAATCAATATCGGGAAAAGAGTGTATGCAAATCTAAAAGAGGACACTGAGGTCAACACCAAGCAGGGAGAGTCTGTTTCATGCATTACCATAATGGTTATGTTTCAAGTTATTGAAAATTAATTTGAATAATGTAAAATAAAACCGTTATTGCTAACCATTAGAATTATAGACATTCTACCAATAATGCACTATTGACAAATACATAAATAATTGAACCAAAACACAACACACATGGCCTGAAGATTGCATTTAAGCATGAAACTAACTGTTGCTGCTGGGTGTTGACCTTGATGTCTACTTTTACATACATACATACATACATACATACATACATACATACATACATACATACATTTTTATTATAAGAGATTATAATAAAAACATTTTAAATCACTACATAAAAGCTTTCATGTTTCAATACTATGATTGTACTTCCTCAAGCAATTGTTGGTAATATGATAAAAATGATTTTTAAAAACAAATACCTCTTTTTTGAAAGTTAAAGGTCGGAGATATAAGATCAGAATTAAAAATATACTTGTAGGTATGTCTCGATTAACCAACTGAAAGTCAGATCTATGTTATGTAAAAAAATAAGGTCAGAGGTTGGAGGTGGGCGAGTTATTTTTTTATGTCACAATAAACCGGTGCTTAGACATCTCAATCCTTGATGATTGTGCAGAATATGACAACAACAACAAACGTATCATGGATGTAGCCAAATGTGACATTCCATTTGTTGAAGTGATGGTGGACATTAATCAGATGTAAAGTTATCAGAAACATTTTTTTTTTCTTCAGGAAGCTTCTTAAAGGAGCCTGTAGAAAAAATTAAAAAATGTGGAACATCTATATACAATGCTAATAACACTGAATAGAAGGCACAGTGATGTAATGGTTAGTGGCTTGGATTGAAGAATCAGAGAGCCGAGTTTGAATTCCAATTGAATCCATTACATTCACTTATGTGCTAATACCCTTGGGAAAAGTAGGAATCCATCTTCTTCTCCCGCCCCAACTATGGGTAAATAGCAGGGCAGACTGGGTTCTATAGCCTTGGATGGCAACTGGTCTAGGAAAAGGACAACTCTGAATTCAAAACCTGGAGAGGGTCGTTTGAGGACCTTGTGGCATGTAGTGCACAGGTCTCTGTATTTGACTCTTCAAAAAGTGTGGATGGTCCTGCATGAAACCTTCACCACTATAATCAAATCTCATGTGCTGGCATCGAGCTGTCAGTTTCCTTGGAACTGATCTGCTTGACCCTCATATGTCAACAGGAGAGTCGAGTATATATAATAAATTAACTGATTTAAAATGTTTTTTTTCACTACACAGTAATAACCATGTTTCAAAAATGGAAGCTAAAAGCTTTAAATTTAATTTTGTAATTAAATTAAAAACATTAGTTCCATTTCATCCTGAATTCGCTTGAGGATGAAATGGAACTAATGTTTTTAATTTAATTACAAAATTAAATTTGAAGCGTTTAGCTTCCATTTTTGAAACATGGTTATTACTGTGTAGCGAAAAAAAAACATATTTTAAATCAGTTAGTTTATAATATTAATGCTCTGTAAATTTACATTGAGCACTATTTTGTAAAGATAAAAATATTAATAAGAACACCGGATTATATATCTTACTGTTCTTTCTTTTTATTTATATATACATATATATATATCTGTGTGTATGTGTGTGTCTGTGTATAATACTGATTCAAGTTTTAAACTATTAAAACTGTTAACCTAATCCATACACTTTTAATGCAATTTCACTTTAAAAAGAAAATTTGTTAATATGTTGACTAATTCACTAAAAATTTTGACAGCGCATAAATGTCAATAAACAAAAAATGCTAAGAAATTTTAGAGCACTTATCTCCTCAATTTGAAGATAAGTTTTCATGACTAATTAAAAAAGAAAATGTTATCTCATTAATTAAAAAAAAAAATAGTGTTGAACAGGCAGAAATATATAAATAGGTTTAAGTATCAAATTGTCACTCAATAATTTACAGCCCAAATTTAAATTATATCCAATCAGAAGCAAAATCATCTTTTTTATTGTTGATGATGATGATGATTGCCTCGACAAAGATATGCAATAGTATAGCTGATGAAATCATTTTTCTCTACTGTCTCATAAACTTTTTCTTTTTAAGTATTTCTAACATTTCTCTTAAAATATTACCTAATGAGGTTCCAAGCCTCAAGTCTTTCAGAAAATAAACACTTGAAGCCACCCAGAAATAAAGAGAAATTCATTAATGTAAACACTTCAGACACATTTTCAACATTGCTGTCAAGGATACAACATTTGAAAAATAATTTGTTTGTTTCTGCTTGTAAAGTCTCCACACATAAATTATTTTTGAATCTATTCACTCAAAATCATTTCTCACAAGTCAGACTGCAGAAATTCCACAGTGCATTAATACCACTTAGCAAAAAAAAACACAAAATAATTAAGATATTTTTCCACATTGCAGGACAGACTATAGTCTTGGTTGGTAACTGGTCTAGGAGAAAGACAATTCTGAATTCAAAACCTGGGTGGTCAAATGTTCAGCAACTAAACTGGCTCCCCTGGTCTGGTGAGGAGGGGAAGGGGAACTCCAGCAGTTCTAAAAGGGCAGATGAGTTCCTCAATGACTACAGCCATCCACCCCAACTATGAGTTAAATAGCCTCACCAACCCACAATTGGCCAAGTGTAGTAAGTACAGCTCCACCCCTGAAGACATGATCAAAATCAGGGAGGGGTTCCTTCAACAGGAGTAGGTCCTGGATTTGGATCTTACCCATTCTTATGATGCAATTTTTCTCTTCCATAGTCTATAACTTTTAGCATGCATAGCTCAGAAGATAAAAGCACTGGTTAAGCATATTTAGTTTCCAGGTAGTTGAGGGTTCAATCCTTGGATCGGGCAGTGTGAAAAAGTGATAACTTTAGTTCAGTTCATAAGAAAAGAGAGATTAGAAGCCAAACGAAACAGAATCAATAAAATATCCACCGGCATGGACAGCAGAAGAACGATGTACTAGTGTGGATTTATTAAAGGATACAGATCAAAATTCATAAGAGCTTGCTAATTACAAGAGAGAGCTGAAGAATGCCAAAGGGACAATGGCTGAAACACTGTAGCCATTACAACAAAGATAAGGATATTAATTAGAAGAAATAAGTAAATAAATAATAATGATAATTCCTCATTTGAAAAATTCAGGCAAAAAACAAAAAAAGGTTGAACTTTCGAAAATTGTAATCTTGATCTATTCAAGTGAGTAAAATTGGTTCAAAGAGAATGACTAATTGTACTTTGCTTAAATTTCAAATTGCTGAGTGTGAACTCAGTTATTGCTGAGTGTTATTTCAGTCTGCATGAACAGACTGAAATAGATAGATAGATAGATAGATAGATAGATAGATAGATAGATAGACATGAACAGATTGAAATAGATAGATAGATAGACATGAACAAACTGAGATAGATAGATAGATAGATAGATAGATAGATAGATAGATAGATAGATAGATAGATAGATATAAAGAGACATATCAAACTTGGACTTGCCTAACAAATATCAACTCATTTGCCAACATAAACTTTATTATATCTGGGGACATATAAGACACTTGCCACTTATCAAAAGGGTTGCTGGAACTTCACCCATATTCTCAACTTGGGCCAATTCAAAACAAGTTGTTTTTTTTTAAAAAAACATTTATTACAAATTTATGAAAATCTAATATAAAATGAAATGGTTTGATATGTCATCAAATAAGGAAGAGTGTCTACATAAAATCTCAAAATGAACGAACATTAGAACAGAAAACGCTAGGACCGTGTGTTGTTGAAGAGATAAAAAAATTGAATTAGTTTTTACTTTTGATATAGGTTTGGTTGAATTGGCAAAAACGTTTGCACACCACAAAGTCAGCAGAGGAAAAGAAATAAAATATAAGGAGCTGCCTAATTAATTAAAAGAAAGTTAATTGATATATCATAACACAATAAATAATTGAAGTTTTGGTTGGTTGGTTGGTTGGTTGTTTAGCAGCACATCAACACCCCTATGGGTTATTTAATGTCGAAATCTAAATATTTTGCATACAATTTTATTTTATTTTGGGAGACAATAATGTTTTAGTGATACAAGTATTACTAATTAACCCATAGCTGGGGGAAGACTAGGTGGATTCATACCTTTCCCAAGGGATTTTGCACGTAAGTAAATATAATAGACCCAACTGGAATTGGAACTCGGCTCTCCAATTAACAATTCCAAGCCATTACACCACCTGCACATTACAGCACTAGATATTTCTAAGTGGTCACCCATGTAGGTACTGATCAGGCTTGACATTGCTTAACTTCAGTGATCATACAGAATAATGAAAGAATTTTCATAGCATTCATCATATTTAAAAAGGAACTTCTTAAACCCATTCTTTGACTTTCTACCTAAGAAAAACAAAGTTAAAATTAGATAGATAGATAGATAGATATGAACAGACTGAGATAGATAGATAGATAGATAGATAGATAGATAGATAGATATGAACAGACTGAGATAGATAGATAGATAGATAGATAGATAGATAGATAGATAGATATGAACAGACTGAGATAGATAGATAGATAGATAGATAGATAGATAGATAGATAGATAGATAGATAGATAGATAGATAGAAACAGACTGAGATAGATAGAACAGACTGAGATAGATAGATAGATATATAGATAGATAGATAGATAGATAGATAGATGAGATAGATAGATGATAGATAGAAGATAGAAACAGACTGAGATAGATAGATAGATAGATAGATGAAACAGACTGAGATAGATAGATAGATAGATAGAAACAGACTGAGATAGATAGATGAGATAGATGATACATAGATAGATAGATAGATAGATAGATAGATAGATGAAACAGACTGAGATAGATAGATAGATAGATAGATAGATAGATAGATAGATAGATATGAAGAGACTGAGATAGATAGATAGATAGGAACAGACTGAGATAGATAGATAGATATGAACAGAGATAGATAGATAGATAGATATGAACAGACTGAGATAGATAGATAGATATGAACAGAGATAGATAGATAGATAGATATGAACAGACTGAGATAGATAGATAGATATGAACAGAGATAGATAGAGATAGATATGAACAGACTGAGATAGATACATAGATAGATGAATAGATAGATAGATAGATATGAGATAGATAGATAGATACAGATGTGGAACAGACTGATAGATAGATAGATAGATAGATGAGATAGATAGATAGATAGATAGATATGAACAGACAGATTGATGATAGAATAATGAAATTTTGAAACAGTTATAGCGAGAAATATAGAGGAAGAATATTTTTGTGTGAAAATTTTTTTCTTGAAAGTCGTTTTTTTTTTTACTTTTGCGATTTCCACCCGCACTCAAAATAAATAAATTAAATTAAATAAAATAAAAAATAAAATGTAATCTCAACAAAAAAATAACTCCCAGAAGGAGGTAAAAAAAAAAAATAACTCTATCCTTGACAACTGGAACTTCTCATAAATTGATTATTATTCACAGAAAACAACCTCAGGTCTTACAAAAAGGAAATCTCTCACACACACACACAGCCACGCATACAAAAATGTATTCACAAATTAACAAGGTTTCGTTTTTTTATCCAAAATTCCTGGGTTCCATTTTTTGTTCTGCTTGTAGTCACATGACAAAACACACTTCTCTCAACCCATATGGCACACAAAATTTTTATCTTTATTTAACGTTGTACATAATTATATGATACAGCTAAATATTCATAAAAGTATAATAAACTTAATCTGTCACAAGGCTACGATAATGCAACACTCAACACTAAATGACTAAATGAGGATTGAACTCACAAAAAAAGTTTAATAAAACTAATAATGAATGCTCTACAACAGGCGTCAGTAGTGTGTAGAAGTAGTAGTAAGCAAGTATCGTTTGAAATACAACATTTTTTTTACCTCCAGGTATTTTAGGGAGCTGCATCAGGACAATTTTTTAATGCATAGATCATCATCATATTATTGATTTACAAGAGAGAGAAGACAAGAATTCATTGGATTTTGTGGCATAGCAACGGACAGCTGCCCTAGAAGAGTTGTCACGCTTCGGCTTATTATTTTTTTTCTCAAAAACGAACTAAGTGTAGAGAAAATGATTTCCAAAATAAACCATCAGTGTCAAAATTGCGTGCGTGCCTGTGTGTGAATATTTGTTAAAAGATCTGCAATAACCACGTGGTAAGTGACAATCTGTCGATCAGATTTATGATCGTTATCAGCATCACGGATTTTTGAAAAGTCAATTATTTCGAAATTGTACAATTTCTGAAACATGACCGGACAGAACGAAATATACTTTTCTCAATGCTACAATAACAATAGATTTATTTTATTTTTATTTACTTTTTTTTTTTTGTTTTAAGCGTGTAATGTTGTAAAATTAAAAATGATATTGGATTGTAAATCAGTCAATCAATTAGTAATCAATTGAGCAGTTTAAAAAAAAAATACATATCATTAGAATTCTGCTTTCCTTTCACTCATAATCAAGCAATAATATTTCTAACACGCTTCACTTTGTGACTTTCATCCTGCATGAAAATTAAAGAAAATATTGCGGGCCGGGAATTGGGTGGTGTTCGACAATTAGCAACTTTCTAATATATCTTTTTCTTTTACAAGATTTTAAAATTTTATGGTGGGAAGGCTTTGTGTGGTTTTAATTTATCTTCTTGAAGTGTTTGTAAATCTGATTTAAATCATTTATTTAAACTACTGTGTAGCAATACTTACGATTTTGAAATATTACTAATTAAAAAAAAAGTAACCCCCCCCCCAAATGTATGTGCGTCAATGTGAGCGAGAAGGGAGTTACGTTACATCCGATCATCATCAACACATTTTTTAACATAAAATTAAGCACATAATAATTCAAAGATTTTACAAGCACACATACGAATGGATTATTGAGGAATTATGGTATAGAAATGAATTGTCCACACGTCAGTTATGTAAGTAAAAGTAAAAGATTCGAATCCAAACCATTTGGTCAAAGAAAAAACTTTTTATTAACCTATTCCACCTCAAATCAATTACAACATTCCTGAACAGACTTTTCTTTTTACACTTACCAAGAACAAAATTACTGAAAGCTGCAAGAAATTAGATTTGTTGCCACTTAATCCTTACCGAAAACCACCAGATTCTATATTTGTAATAAATTAAATGGTAACCAGAATCCAGATTATTAATTTGGATTCGATTAGGAAATAGACTAAAAATTAAAAACTGTAAATAAAGATCTAACCAAAGTGTCCCCGTAAATAAGATAAAAATTAATTTGGGAACAGAAAAATAAATCAATTGTTTTTTTTGTAAATCAAAAGATTTTCATTCGCCGTTTTAAAAAAGGTCGTGTTATTCATGTGCAAAAAAAAAAGTGTCAGTTTTGCTCGCAAAAGAAACAAGTTATGCATCCGATGTGTTTCGTTAGAATAGGAAAATTAAATTAAATTTAGATTTGAAAAGCTGAAGTGTCAAAAAGAAAAATACAGAAAAAAAAACTTGTTTAAGAAACAAACACAAAAATATTCCACAAAAACGAAACATATTGATTGACTTATGACAATTAGAGAATTTACACATTAAGTAATAATAAAAAAAAAGTTAATGCAGTTTTGTCCTGCAAGAAAAACAATGCTATAAAAAAAATTGCAAATTGAATCCCCCACTCAAAAAAAGGAAAAAAAAAAAAAAAAACAGATGCAATAAATAATTCAATAATTTCAATTGCAATTTAATTTCATTTTCCCCGCTTTCTTTTTTTAATCCTAAAAAAATAATTAAACTCACATATAGTCCTGATTGGGATAAAAAAAAAAATAATGCTTTTTTTTTGTCCCCCCCAAGAAAATAATAGCCTACCTGTTGAATTGGACTGACCTGCACGAAGTCCAGTTCTGGTCTTGTACCAACAGATACAATCCACACCATTTCAGAACGAATGGGTGGAACTTCGTCGCCGTCTTCTTCTTCCTCCGGTCGATTTTGGTGGTGCGGGCTTTGGCCCGTTGGGGATTGCATTAATAATATTTTAATAATCAAGAAGTTTGATATGTATCAACAGGTCTTCTCCTTTTTCAACAACAACAGCGGCGGCAACACCACCTCGACAAGAAGATGTAATGATGGTGGTGATAATCAGATTTTCCATCGTACCTCTGTTACTGGTGTCGGGGTATCCAATTCATTCTCTCGCAGAACTTGGCATGGGTCTGTTGTTGCCTTGTCAGACACCAACCTCACAACCGCCGCCTTTTTGCCTAATAACACGAAACAGGCGTTGTTTCTTTCTTCTTTCTTTCCCGGTGCACATTACCAATATTTCAGAAAGAAAAAAAGAAAAGGGAAATCCATCTTGCTACTTCCTTTCTTTTTCTTTTCTACTTTTTTACCGTCACTCACTATACAAGTTTTAATATATCTTTACGTTTTTTGCCAATAAAAACAGAAAGAGTTGCTTCTCGTGTTTCTTCTTTTTTTTTTTTTTTTTTTACCTTTCCAAGATATCTATTTTACTACTTTGTTGTTTGACTTACTTCTTTTACCTACCTACTTTACTACTTACTTACCTACCTGTCTCTAAGTATTTTTCTCCCCATTTTTTCTTTTTTACCCTTACACTTGTTTTCCAGATCGTTTCAGGAATTGGCAGCTCCTTGTATGTTTCTCGTCTTTTGAATAAAAAATATTATCTTTAAAAAACACGAAAAATATCACTACAAATATCCAGTTTATATTTCTCTTTCTTCAACTGTATCGTTTTTTTTCTACGTGGTGTTGTGTTTGTGTCACTGTAAGTAAAACTAGTAGTACATTGTTATTCATTCATGTTTTTATTTTTTTACTCGTTGTTCGAGCAGGTCATAAAAAATGTGACACTCAATTTTGCCGCGACGTTGCATACAAATCCATTGTTTTTGTCATTTCTTGCGGGACGACATTGCATCCGATTTTTATAATGAAATTTACAAAGATACATTTTATTTTCGCAATACACAAGAACAAATTCTCCTGATTTCTCTTTTTTTTAAATGCATTTACATTGACACGCCCTTACCTTTTTGAAAATTACGACCCACGTGTTACACTTCTCCAAATTATTTGATTTCAGCATAAAAAATAATAAACATTTCTTTAATCATTTTTATGATTGATTTTAATCGAAGTTTCTTCAAACACAAAAAAGTTATCAAAATTAAAGATTTAACTTTTTTTTTTTTTTTATAACCATATAATACCGCTTTTTCTTCTTTTTTCGACAACAAAAGGGATATCTAGACAAATAGCAACCCTAATAATAATAGATCAAAGGGTCTGGTAAAGGCGCTTGTCGTAAAGAAAGCAACGGTGAACAAATAACCAACCATTCAATTTATTTTAGACCCCCCAAAAAACACCACTTAAAAAAAAAATACATGTTCGATTCCCATTGCGCTTTTTATTGTAGTTCAACAAAATGGGAACAAAAAAGAATTTCCATAAATTATGTTAAAATTAAAAATACTTTAACCCTTACAAAATGTGCCACTAGACTTTCCATACTTGGTTGGATATGAACAGGACGATACGATGTGTTCTTCTTGGGTATATAAAAATAATAATAATGAACAAATATTCACAAGAAAATAAAACCGAAAAATGCATTTTATTTATTTTGCCGTTTTTAGCAATGAGGTTTTCAAAGTGTAGCAATGCTACGAAGTTTGAGAAAAACATGAATGAAAGTAGAGAAGACGGAGAGAAAAGCGAAGAAAAAAGTAACGAATCGAGTAGTAGACGAATAATACAAAATAAAATACAGAAAAATACATCATCATGCAAAAAGTAAAATCAGCTCTTTTTTTGTTGTTTTTTTGTTTCTTTCTTCTTCACATTCATTGTGGGACACTTTTTTTTTTAAAAAAAAAAAAAGACAAACTCACCCCTTTTCTTTGCATAGAGAGAGAGGAGGCTTCATATATGTGGGAAAGGAAGAAAAACCAAAGATCCTCATAATTTCTAGTAGTAAACCTAACCACATACCCGTTCACACGTGCTCAGCCCTCTTTTTACCCGAGACAAGAAAAATTCGCACACCTACACATCATCATCATCAATCTTCATCATCATCAATAGCAATTTCCTTTTTTTTAAAACATTTGGGCCTGTCAGTCACACACACACACTCAAGATATACGTTTTTCCTTCTCTCTCTTACCAATACAATTATGTACATTTGTCATTGATGACAAGACCATTTTGCTTTTAATGAAAATTATTGTTTTAAAAATCATTTTTAAGACGAGGAATATATTCTTTTAGAAAAAGCATTTATGAAAGAAAAACTTAGTTTTAAATTAATTAAATATAAACTAAACACCTTTTTGTTTATTTATTTCCAAACTAAAGCTATGATAATTTTTTTTTGATAAAGAGCAAAAAATATAAGTAAAATAAATAAATTAATTTAAAAAGTGAGTAAAAATATCTAAACAATTATTAACTGCGATCAGTTAATGATCATAATCACGAGGGGAAAAAAAAGGAAAATCCTAGATGACGCGCTTTTTTTCCTCCCTGAAACTTCCCAAATTATCAGCAACACTTAAAAAGTATAACTTTGTTTAAAGCAATATTAACAGTCAATCTCTGCATTTGTATAAACAAGCATTACATTTACATTTTAAAACGAATACGTTTTTCAGTTTTCACACTCTCTCTCTCTCTCTCTCTCTCTCTCTCTCTCTCTCTCTCTCTCTCTCTCTCTCTCTGGTTTAATCTGACGTTTGTGATTAAGGAATTTTTTTTTATTTATTCAAAGTTTTATCAAAAAACTGATTAAGCTCTTTTGCCAGTTTAGAGACGTTTATAATTTTAATTTTATTTTTTTTTTAATAACAAGGTGTTAAGTCAAAGTATCAAGCATTTTTAAGGCGAGATTCA